TAGTGTCTCTGTCCCCGATGAACCAGCGCAAGTGGAAGCACAGGGCTAGGAAGCCAGTCCCCAGCAGGTCACCCAGGGCGGTCAGGTACGGGATGGAAAAGTTGTCAGGGTCCATGCCCCGACCCCACATCCAGTGGACCATCCAGTCTGCCAGGTAGAGGAGGATCATGACCTGAAGAAAGCATAGCCAGATTTAGTGAACAATGATTTTTACATAATATTTGTATGTCATAACCAAGACGCAAGTATCAATATTTCGGAATTCCTCAACGACGCCCTTACAATGTTGTAAAATGATGTACAAACATATCTGTACCTGCAGTAGTGCAGCAAACAGGTAGAAGGTAATGAAGATGGGTGTGAGGGTGGTGTGTCCCCCCCTCAGGGAGTTGATGGTGTAGAGGAAGACGAGGTGCCCTGGGGCAACCAGCAGGAAAAGTACACGGGCTGAACGGGAGTTCACAGCTGGAATGGAGAGAGACGAACATGAGTTACATACGAGGCGATAGCATGATGGAAAACGCTGGACAACACTGGAAAAGACTCTCCTGTGAAGCAGGAACAGGACATGCCAACAAGGCTGTGTCATTAAGGTTATTTTTGTACTTGTTTTCTTTGAAATTCTTTAAAATAGTTTTGTTTTTCATAGTTGGTTTGTCTTCTAATGGTTCTTTGACACACTGTTGTGGTTGTTTTGTCTCTGTTGTTGTTTTCGGTCTCTGTTGTCAATTTGTGACTTCCTGGTTGTTTTCTCTTTGTTGAGGCTTTGCCGTTTTCTTTGTTTGTTAAATGTTTGTAGTTATTTTGTCTCGCTGTCCGTGCTTTCTCACTTTGTCTGTTGTTGCTTTGTGGGTTTTTTCGACCTTTCCTCTGTTTTGCCTCTTTGTTGTCATTATTTTGACTTTAAGTTACTTAAAATTTTTTGGTGGTCATTTTATGTCTGCAGTATTTTTAAACTCATTGTTGTTTAATTGCAGTCATGATGCACCTCATTATAATTATCTAATGGATTTCCTGATATCAAATAGTAACATCAAACTGGGCCCTGCACGAGCTGGCTTGAAGGATAAACTATGAAGAAGTCCAACACAGTTAGGATTTCTTTGTATTTGCTGTCTTGATAAAACCTCGAGCCCAAGTTGTAGATGACGGGTATCACAACAGTGGTAATCAGCTGTCTCTGTTAAGCCGGGTTTTCTGCTTCAAGCTCCGTGTGTGTCCATATGAAAACATGCATTTTACAGGCTTTACTCTTGTTTTGCACAAATATCCCCATGAGTGCCACCTACATGAGTAAGATCTAGTAAAATCTATGAAGTCATTGCTGCAGATAAATGTTAAACTGATGATTAACAATTGTTTTATGGCTGACTGCACTGTCTGTGCTGCTGTTTATTTCTGAGCGGACAGACCTGTGAAACTTTAAACTGGACCCATTTAAAGATTAAAGATTACTTTAGTGTGTGAGCAGATGAAAGTGAAATAACGTTATTGATTGAGCAGGTATTCCTGGTGTGTGTTTTCTATTTTAGTAGCTGCAATCTCAGCAGCGTAAATAAGACTTAACCGCACATTAGAATAAAATCTAAAATCATTTTATATATTTTCTCTATAACCAAATGAATACATGCACATTCCTGTGACAATGCAACACACGGTTTGCACTTCATTCAGTGATTTTTACTAAGGTAGGGCTTAACAACTTCTACACTTCCCCAACAAAGAATCAGTATTGCTTTTAAAATACGCTGCAAATAAAAGAATCAGTAAAATCGCAGCACCTCCACCTGACTTTAAACTAAACTCTGCGTATAGCCTGCTCCCGCCCAGGTTACATTGTCAGCATAATGTAAAAAAGAGTGACTCTTATCACACAGAAAACACTTTAAGCTCAATATAGCCAGTAGTCTCACTTGTAATACACCCTCCGTATGGAAAAAACTGTTTGTATGAGATAAAGAGTGGGCGGGGACAGTGGAACATTTATTCCACTGCTGCCTGATAACTTACTGGAACCAAAGAAGGAAGTGCAGGGTGTGGGACACTTCCTGGGGGCTGGGTTGGGATCCCCCATGGGTATACCGTTCATGTGTAGATAGGTGGAGATTCGACTTGCCTGAACTGCTACCAGGTTACCTCCCACACCTGGCACATGAAAACATGACAAATCAACCTCAGTACTAACAAAAACATTTCTCCAGTCGAGTATTGTGGAGCTGGCCTTTAGCCGTGCAAGAGCACGGCGCCATGCCAGCTCCATCGGTTAGTATTACCGCAGTGCACATATGCTTCCTCTGGCAGGCATTAGTCAGTGCGTCACTGTTACATGACACAGATGGGTGAGCACAGCAACAGCTCTAAATACACAATTTAATTGGTTCCAACAGATTTCTCTGCATTTGTTGTTTTACTAGTTGGCATATTGAGGGTTGTTATTTCCACCTCTTTTGTACACTTTTGTTCTCTGACTGCTCACCGTTGATGACTGGAGTGAAGACAGCCATGCCGGCAAAGTTTGGGTTGGTGACAGTTTTGTCGAGGATCAGACCACCGACACTGAAAGACACACACAAGCAAAAAAGTGAACAAAAAGTGAACATACTGCTATTTACCATACAAAAACATGGGTAAACTGAGAAGAGAGAACTACAATCAGACATTTAAAACACTTAAGGACCCATCTGTAATCTCGTATACATTATAATCCGTTATCCCGTGGAACACATTGGAGGAATCTTGAGGAAACCCTCGTTGTGATTTAGCACTGTATAAATATAACTGACTGTAAATGTACTCAAAAACATATTTAAAGTTTTATTTATTAATTTAATATATTCTGATGGATTCAGCCCTGAGCCTGAAAAGAAAACCTAAGCACCCTAACTAGAGGCTTCCTCATGGCCAGCAGGGGGAGACTCCTGCGTGTGCAAAAAGATGCCTCATTGGGTTTTCTCCTGTTCTGAGGATCGGGGTCTGGGATGGTGTGGAGCATAGGTTGTTGGTAGGCTCTGTGACATCATCAGTGAATACAGCAATAGTAACTGAGAAAAACAAAGGCAGCACTGTGAGTTAAAAATCCACATAAGCAAGCACATCCTACCTGCTGATGGCCATGGCGATGATGACTGGCTCCCAGCCGCAGTAAAGGACCTCTCTGGTGGATGGGATCTTCCTGGCTATCAGCACCCATAGTGGGCACATCGCCACAAAAACTGCACACACTAGAGGGTTGGCATAATCATTGTACTCTGAATGGGGGGAAAAAAGATATTGATGCTTTAGCAGGAACATCTTTGTCATATTTTGACATAACAAATTTTTCATTTTCTGAGAATTCTATAAAAAAAACCACCCTGGACGTGGCTGAAACGCAACATAAATCACACACTGGCAAATTTTGACTGTTTTCATTTGGATTGCCGTTAAATCATGGCCTTTCCTGCAGAAGGCAGTACTGCAGCTTGACTAACAAATGCAGGAGATTACAAAGCACCACAAACAGCACATTAAGTACACGGGCTGGTTACAACACCCAGACACCAGCCGTGTTTGTGAGTGTCTAAGCCAAAATATCCCAAATAAGCTCAACAAGCAGCAGTGAGTAAGACTATGAAGTCTGTAGATTCTCTGACAGACTAAAGAGCTACAGGATTACTCCACACTCAGTGTTTGTCACTGTCTGTGGTGTGCAAATGATGGAACAGCAGGGAGCTCGATGGAGCTGGGTGTGCTGCCGGTGAAGATGCTATCACAGCGCTAACAATACAGCCACACAGCTGTGGAGTTTCTTGCCCCGGAACACAGCGAGAGTAGGTGTGGGCGGCTTTCATCCTTATTTACCAAAAGCAGAGCAACATTTCATACATTCTACTCATGCCGCTCCCTTTTCTTTAATAACTTCAAAGGTAAAGAAGACTCTGGAAGCTGTTTGATGGATCTACCAACTATCAAAATAATGTTGAAATGATTCTGTCGGAATTTGGGAGTTACCTTCAGTTGCGAATCAGAGGCTCAGTTTAAGACATGCGAGAATTTGAGACGGCAAGTATCCACTATTCAAACCACCTTATTGAGCACATCCAGGTAAAATAATGGATCGCACACCTGTTTTCAAATGGAAAAAGCAAAAAGATCTGTGGGTATGCTCGTCATTTCCGTTACCTAGCTCTTTGTAGAGTCCTGTTGAGATGCCTGCCAGCAGGGACAGGGTGATCAGATCTCCTAGGCTAGCAGCGATGGGCGTGGCCACATTGTCAGGGTTGATGCCAACTTTTCTGGATGCAACAATCACGCCGATCATGATGAGACCTGTGAGATTTTAGATCAGAGGCATCACAACACAGAAGGCAACAATGCTCTTAACTGTCCAACAGTACTCACTTAAAAAAACAAAAAGTTATTTTGATGCTTGATTGCTCAATTGGGATTCTTTTATTTCCCTTAAAGGAACTGACTTTGGCAAATACAAAGCCTGGTTACAAACAGCATGTGGGAGTAAGAGCCAGCACAATGTTTCCGCATATCTAAAACGTTTAAGGTTCTTTCCTACAGCAACCACAGACAGCTCATGTTGGTTTATAGCAAAAACAAAACAGCAACAAAAAATGGTTTTGTCTGAAAAACAGTTTCGAAAACAGCTTCACTCAAACGTAGTTGTTGAGCTGATGAAAGCCAGCAAAAACATGACGACTGCACCTATAAAGCAATCTGATGTTGTCAGCGTGGTTCCAGGAATGTGTGATCAGTCCACCACTGTGGTTCAGACTGAAAGTTCTCAACAACAACTGACATCCGCTGTCCCCAGAGTAAGAAACCTACCGAAACCTATCAGCTGGTGCTACTTTAAAGTTTGTGGGTTTTACTGAAATGCTCTTATATTTGCTAGATGGAGATTTGTGGTGCACACAGAATGAACCCTGATGACTTATGAGGTTGGACATATTAAAGGTTTTTGTTCAGATATAACAAATATGGATACGACTTCCATGTACCTGGGTATAGATACCTCAGGATGAACTGTCATGTTTGTCACTTAAATGTTGATCTCACCAAAATTTTCAAATGTTTGCCATTTCACACTTTGTGTTTAGTACTAATCTGCATATAGCATGCTAACACACTGAGCCATGATAGCATGTTGGGACTATTGTAGCAGCTACATCCAAATATTACACATTTAATCCTACATACTACAAAGGCCAGCAAAACATTGACCAGTTCAATCTATTAGAATTATCCAGATAACTAATACTTTAGTTTTATTTTAGTTTAAGGCATTTCATTGATTCGAGATAAGAGATTCTTATTTCTTCTGTGGATGCTTATTTACACACAATTTATTTGCAAAGCATGTTTTCATTGCACTTTACTAATGCATGTACCATATTATACACCTTAGCCAAAGGCAATATTTTTTGTGAACTTTTGGCACATCATATTAAAGAAAATAACATAAATAAGTACCATAAACTACTTCTAAAGGGGCTAACACTAAAGACGTCTTATCTAACTGATAGCAAAATGAGGTTAACTTATTTATCAACTCTTTTTCGTGTAGATAACTATGGCATATGGACGGATTCTCATATAGTGCTTTTCTACTCTCCCGGAGTACTCAAAGCGCTGTATACAACATGCCACAGTCACACCAGCATTGTCTTCTAAGTTTCTTAGTGCTTCCTAACTACCATTCATACTCCGATGAACACATCGGAGAGCAATTTGGGGTTAGTATCTTGCCCAAAGATACTTGGCATGCAGACTGGAGGAGCCACAGATCGAACCGCCAACCTTCTGATCAATAGATGACAAGCTGAGCTACTGTATAGCCACCCTATAGAGTGGTTCACACGTTTGCCTATCAAATAAAGAGCTGAGGTTCAAGAAGGAGGCACATGTGCCTTACGGTGGTGCCACGAAGGGCATCAGGTACTAAAGAAATCTGTCAAATCAAACTCGTGGAGCTACCTGCTGTGGTGACCACTTGTGAACAAAGAGGCCGCTAAATGTAGCTTCTTCTTCTTCTTCTAGTTGTAACTATCAAGAGCTTAAACAGCACTTGAGTGAAAAAGTCTTGCTAATGATGGCAAATTAGCACTGAGAGTTACATAAAATCCTGACGTGACTGATGAGTAGCACTGTGAACACCCCTCACTTCCCAACTGGTGACCATACCTAGCAGCAGAGAAGCGATGAAGGCGGTGGCCACACTAGAGGCACACAACAGCACTGCATGGCCCAGCTTGAAGTGTCCCTCTGGGATCCAGCCAAAGATCACAGCAGCTATGGAGGCCAGGAACCCCACTACTGTGGCTTGGACCTGGGTGAAAACACACATATACAGATTTACCATAAGATAGTTCTTGTTGCTATGACTCACAGCTAACATGTAAACTCCTGATGAATGATATTATTATGGCCCATATAAGCATATTTCAGTCAGTCCATATACAATTTTTGACCTCATCTTCTTGATACATACAGTAACATTACAGGCTGCTTCTCAAAGTCAAGGAGGGATTCTTAGCATCGTCATCATCATCATCAAATACTGTTGAAGGGCTGGTCCATTATCTACCATCTTTCTAATTCAACCAAGGACTGAGTGGGAAGGAAGGTGTGTATTATTACTATTCTTACAGAACAATAAGTACAGTTATCAAAAAAAGAAAGTTTGCACAGACTACACAGGACTATGTAGTCTGTGAAAATCTAAGATCACTCTTCCATAGGAATTAAGAGAATAACTAGCAGCCAAATACTGCCAACAGAATGGACTTGATTAACTGACCATCAGCAAATGTGAAATGTACCTCCATATAAACAGAATCTCTGGCTGTTTGCTGGTTTGGGGCATTCACATGTATGTTAACACAAAATTATAACCTTCCCAGGAGTGGACGTTCCTGCAAATTCGTCCCAAGGTCAGACCGTGCAGGGCTCGAAGAAACAGCAAGAAGCTCTAGAAGGCCGCAGTTTGCATGTTAAATGTTACAGCTCGTGACGGTACAATTGAAAAAAAGACTAAATAAGTATGGCTTGTCTGGGAAAGTTGCCAGGACAAAGCATCTTCTCTCTAAAAAGAAAATGGCAGCGTGGATTAGAGTTGCAAACTTGCATCCAAACAAACCACACAACGCAATGTGCTTTGGACAGAGCAGACAAAAGTGGACATGTTTAGCAACAATACACATTGCTATATCTGGGAAATCTATCTGTCCGTCCACCAGATAAAACTTGGTCAAAAACCGGGTCTTGCAACAGGAAAATCATCCCAAGCAAGCCAACATATCTTCAAGAGAACGGCTGAAAAGAACCCAGTCAGAGCTCAACCTGACTGGATGCTGTGGTGGGACCTTAAGAGAAACGTGACAAAGACTGTAAGGAAGAATGGTTCGTGACAGACTGTTAAATTTACACAGAAAACAGTTACCTGAAGTTTTTGCTGCTAAAGGTGGTATCTTCACAATGCTAGTATTAATGTTAGCGTAGCATGCCTCCCTCTTGTCTAAATATGGTCACTTCTGGCTCCAAAAAAAAAAGAAAAAAAAAAAGATAGTAACTGCCATAAAGGTAAAGTGGAGGCTTGTGTGTGGAGTTCACAAATCAATGAGTAATGTCACGGCGGCTATGGTGCACACTCGCTATCTGTTTCAGTGTGAGTTCTCAGAATCATATGAAGCAGTTTCCAGTGTAACCGCCTTCAGAGAGCACCACTGTGACCCAGTGTGAGTGCAAGATAACCCTAGATAGAAAGTTGTGACAGCATCAGCCAACACTGGCTTAGTGTTCCAGGAACTAACTATAAGCTCACATCACTGCAAACTACTAGGGTCGGGGTCTGTGTCAAGAGAGACCAAACAAAGACTTTAAGCAATAAAGAGATTTTCATGCCTTTGTTTGTGTACAATAAATAAAACACACTGCAAACTAATATAAAGAGCCAAGTACATGCAGCTTGGCTGCAGTGAGAGCAAGTAAACCAAGCACAAAATAGACCATACTCGACTGACATGTCTGTTCTGTCTCGATCCTTTTGAATGTGAGGTCAGCCCCTATCTCTTTTACAAATGTTACTGTGCTCTGTAGTGACTGGTCAGTGTGTTTACTGTGTGCAATAACTCGTGCAACAAGCTTTTCCAGACAGGCTGGTAACTGGCTTCCTGAAATGCGACATAAATGTGAAACACTATACATTTGGGCTAACCCTCTCACGGCAGACGATGCAGATTGGCAACAAGTAAAAGCTAACAACCTGATTACCCCACATACATATTTTATGAGTCTATTTTACTCAGACGTACCACTGCAGGTATTCTTTTGTGCATTAGCAACAAAAACTTAATTTGAGCCTGAGAGGGTTAAAGGACAGACTGTATTATGGGGACCACAATTTACAAAACGATCATCTTGCTTTATACACTAAGGCTTTAAATCAGTGATAGGGACCATAAACACATCAGAAAAGGGTTTACTGAGGTAGCAGAGCAAAGTACCTAGGAGCCTTTTTCCTCTGAACTCCCAAATAATTTGACTTTCAAGCTTGACGGTGACAGTAATAAAATTTGGAATACTTGCTGAGAATGCAGATTTTGACTTGTTGATTAGGACGTTTATGTTAATGGGAAATTTTTTTATTCACAAATGCAGATACTTTAAAGCTAAACCATGTATAAACAGATGGCTGAATGACTTTAAACTCTGGGCTAAATCGCTGAAACTTGTGAATAACAAGAAAGCTCATAAACTTGTTGTTTTATTTAACGAGTTTAATCTATGTTAAAAAAGAAACCTCCCTATTTTATAATCATGACTGCCCTTTTTTGTTCATGTTATTTTTTGCCTTTGGTTCAAATTCTTCAATGACTGTTCTTTCTTTTTGTGCTAACTCTTTTGGCTTTGTGTTTACTGGTTTTTGTTTGTTTGTTTTTTTCTTACTATAATGCTCAACCGAGGATATTACATATTCAGATTAATGATGGTGCCTTGTATGTTATACTGTTGTTTGTAAATAAAGTTCTTAAAAATAAATAAATAATAATAAAAAAATAAATAATTTTTTTTTTACCTTCAAGCAGAGAAATCTACCCCCTGGTGGCCATCAGAAACACTGCAAGCTTAACCTGTTAACATCTACCAGTCACCTGTGACCTGTTCTCATCTAGATGCTTATATAGATTTTTTTTTCCTGCATGGCATTAGTCAGTGGTAATCCTACAACCTAGTTTAGGTGCATGCAAAAGGGTTGATTTTAAAAGTTACAGCTAGTTTTGGTGCTTGTTTAGCATGTAGCTAAAATGCAAGCTAATCCTAGTCCTACCGCGAAGTGGTTCAGCAGGGACCTGATGAATGTTAAGCTGTTAAGGCATTGCACTGACCTAATTTTAAACCCATCTTTTATATTCTGTTTCAAAATATTTTGATTTCAGTTTGAGATTTTTTAAAACTTTGCTGCTGCTTTGAGTATTACGACATGATTCCACTAGTACTATAATGCATTTCAGTGGTCTCATTATGAGACTGGTCTGTTTAATGAATGTAAACATGGTTGAAGATGCTCCGTGACAGCAGTCTTCATTGTGTTTCCTGTACCTGGATGAGGGCCAAGTTCCCCATGATCATCTTCCACATGTCCTTGGCTGTGTCCATGTGCCCAATATTAGCCTGAAAAACACATAAGAACGAAAACGTTATCATGACCGTGTGTAAGTAGCTGTGTGTGTTTGTGGGTGCGTGGGGGGATACAGAGTGCTCACAGTCTGTTGCCTCTTGGTCCCATCAGAACAATAGGGCGTCAGTTCTCTGGACAAAGACACTCTGATCTGATCCCCCACCCTGCGGCCGACTCCACTTATCTCATCTCTGCTCTTTCACATACACACCCTTAAACACACACACTGATGGTCTTGTGCATCAAGTGGCTACAGTGGGCTACTGTGAACCCAGATCAATGATCCTAATGCCCATCCACAGTGAGAGGACACAAACAGACAATCTCCTCTTCCTCTTTGTCCTCGCTCGTTTGCATATGCAGAAGGAAGGGAGACAGCTGGATACATGAAAATCGCCCGTGAGGATATCACTTCATCCTTGGTTCTTCATTGAAAAGTGTATGAACTGCATGATCCCACTGCATGACTCAAGATAGCTTCCAGAGCTTTAAATATTTTGTGTTACCTAATCTGTGAATTTAGTGTAATGCCACGTGAGATACGGCTTTCACCTTTAATTTTGTCTCTAACGTTTATCCTCTGCTAGAGTGTTTGTTAATCACTCGTTAAAGTGATTTTCCCTGAACTTGTACTAACGTTTCTACATGAATATAGTTTAAATGATTGGTGAAGATCCACAGCCGAACCCATAGAGATGCTTTCACCAGTAGGCGTGTGTGTGGTTGGTATTGTGGTGGTTTGATTCAGACAACATAGCTTCACAAAGCGCCTGTGTA